TTTGTTCTTCTCTTCCCCTCTGCTTTTTGGTATAATCTCTCTGGTGCTCAAGCCTCTTTTATCTTTCTCCCAGTCTCCCATACCTTTTTTTATAATAAAATACATGATTTAGTGATTGCCTCTTTACTAGTATACTGAATTTGCAGGTCTACTGCTTTCTCAATTTGGAGCAATCTGATTATTCCTGGTGATTCATACCTTTCATTTGAACCTAATGGATAGAAATCAGTGATGGAGGCAAGGTGTATTTTAAGTGATTCACTAATCAGCTGAAAACATCTCCAAACTTCTACTGAACAACACATAGCCGCTCTACAATCATTATTACCATTATTGATGTAATTTGATGTAATGTAAGACTAATTATCCACCTATGTATGTTGTTATTCTTGTAACAGTCTAAATGAATGAGCCCTAAAGGCTTTGTGGATGTGTCATGTTACAAAATTAAGCTTTCTTAAAACTACCTGATAGTATCAGGTACTGTCTTTGTATGCCTTTATTTAAAAAGTGGATGATGGTGGGGGAAACCTTTTTGTCAAAAAGAAAAAGGGCCCTTTGAGATGATCTGTCTCATCAAAATAAACGTGACAGGCTTTAATACCCTTAATATATTCATGCCCACACATTAAAATGTTGTACATTTTTCATAATTATGTTCCACAGTAACTGCATTTGTGTGAACTCTCTGGAAGAAAATGGAATTAATTAACCACCTGGCTTCACCTCCTGTATGAAAAGTAACAATTCTAGACATCTTCATGGTTGCTGGAGTATGCGTTATTTTAACTCTTCAAGTAATAATGTGAAAAAGAGCCAATTTTATTTTTTGAGAAGAGCAGTGATGATCCAAGGCTTGGGTGATCTTGATTTTGAGCAGAACTGTGTAGTCCTATGAGATGCTGCATACTCTCAAAACTGACTCCATTGCTATGAGTGGGTAGGCATTTGGCATGCTGCAGGTTATTCAGAGTGGTTTTGATGTCTAAAAATATCTTCAGATTAAGAAGGTTACTGTATCTTGAGTTCCCAGGCTAGTCTTGAAGATGGATTAAACTGAGATCAGCATATGCTTATTCTGGAATAAGACAAAATGTTCTTATACTCAAATAACAGTATCCAGAGAAGAGCAGGTCCTTATAGAGGTGAATGTTGGAAATATGGTAAGATACACCTTGAATATTTGTTTAACAGAAGAAAAGCTTGTAAAAAGTACAGAGTGGACTGTGAGCTTGCGTATCCTCACCAGAGCCATTTTACCACATTCTGATTGAATAAACACCCATTTCTAACATTCTTTGAGCAGGTGACGGGGTCTCTTCTTTTACACTCACTTCACAGGCTTCATACACTAATGCCCTTTATTCAGTACAAAGTAAGAAGTGGGCTGCACGTATCTGTACTCATTCAAAGACATCTCTGTGATGAGACTTAGCTAAAATTCTTTGCTGAAATATTAACTTCATTTTCTGAAAAATGCGGACTGGTCCAGACTGGAGCCTTTTGCAAAGTCCATATTAACTTTTGAAGATGTGCTGAGTCCTGTCTAAAGTCTGCTTGCTTTCATAATGGCTTCTAAGATTCACGTTCATGTAAACAACCTTCACAGGACCATGATTTTCAGATCCTTTTGCAGAGAGAGGGCTTTGAAAGCCTTAGAAATCCCAATTGTACCACATGTAAAGGCTTTGGTAAGTCCTGGGACTTGAGCTCCTTGATCCTATGAACAGAATTGCTGGATCAGACCAAGGGTCAGTTTAGCATAGTATCCTGTCTCTGGCAGTGGCCAAAAGCTGATGTTTAGAGAAAGCATATAGAAAAATTACAAAAATTACAAGTAGAGGCTTTAGATATATCATAAGATACATCCTAATTAAGGGGTCAGTTTCCAAGGAGTGGTGCTTTTGGACTTTCAGACTTATCAGTTGCTTCTAGGCTGTTGAGTTAAATAGCCTTTGGACCTTTCTTCTCATGCATTTCCTAACTCTTGCACTCATTGATACCTTTGACTCAGTTCTATTAAAACATTTTGAAACAATTAATAATTCTTCCCTGATGATACTTCAAAATTTCTACTTTTCATTCAAATGCAGAACCAGCTTTAAAAAAAATTGTATGGAATAGAGCTTTTTTTTTTTTTTTAAGCCCACATTTTAAACATGGTGCACATCTTTCTTTGTCTTATTTTCCCCAGTCTTCAGTGTGTGTCATTGTTCAATACAAGATGGTCTTGGTGCTGTGTAGCTTTGTCAGTTTGCTTTTTGTGTTAGGATATACTGTTGTCATGACTCTTGGCTGCTATTAAATTAATCTCAGTGTCACTGTTCCCTATGCTAAGGAATTTCTTTCTTTCATTTTAATTGCATACTTACTTTTTTTTTCTATGGCTCTTTCATTTACAGTGTCATTACTCCATGAAGAAGGCAGCCTCCTTCCTGGGTATTGGTACAGAGAATGTTTACTTCATCAAAACAGATGAAAGGTAAGCAAGCAAAAACCATGGCTGTGGTCTCTGAGCCTTTTTAAAATGCAGTAGTGCTGTACATAACCAACCTATTTGAATGTAACTGAAAAAGTTTTAAATCTGTGTCCCTTAGAGGTAAGATGATACCTGAGGAACTGGAGAAACAAGTCCAACGGGCCAGGAAAGAGGTGAGAGGGGGAGAGAGAGCGTGAAGGAGAGGAGGAGTGTATGCAGACTGTGTGCTTGTGTCTGAGTGAAAGGAAGGAAAACTAGGAGTGAGTGAAATCTTAAAAATAGGGCAGTTAATGTAACAGCGTCTTTCTTACAGGTGCAGTCTGTTTGCCACAACCTTGTGTTACAAGCCAAGACTTCTAGACGTTATGCTATTACGAGGGAGAAAAATTCCACAGGGTGTTTACTACTAATGAAAGTCCAGAGTACAACACTGCTCTGAAGTTTTTAGCACTTTTTTTCTAGGATTTCTTTTGCCCTTGATCCTTTTTTAAATGGATGCAGTATTCGTTTTCCTTAAATGGTAAATTAAAACTGAGGTTTTTCTGTTAATTACAGCAGCTATTGCTCTATCTTCTGCAGTGAGCAAGAGCTGTAACATGTGGCTTAGTCTTTAAAACTATCATACAAGCTACAAATGCTGAATTTGGTCCTTTTTAATATTGTAGCAAGAGTGCAGAGATTCTGTCCTGTGCCTCTTTTCCCCCAGGGACTTTGCCAAGTAGAAAGTCAAAGGCCAGCATTTGGAAATGTACTGATGTGTGTATTTGAACAACATTAGCATACATTCCCACAATCTGTAAGACCTCAGTTACTGTAGTCAATGTAATTTATTTTAGAGAGCTTGGAGGACTGAATGTGAATTTTAAGGCACACAGCATCTTCTTTTGGCTTGGTTAGCTCACCTTATTTCTCACTTGCAGTTTGTGCATCAGCGCAGTAGGATTCAGAGCTCCGCCCTTAGTCCATGATCTGTGAAAACCAAGCAACTAGTGCAATGTCCATGGTGTGGACGATGCCTACCATGGAATCCTTCCTTGGGAAACCTACTTTTGTGGCTGATAGAAAAGCCAAGGCAGTGCTGTCCTGTCATGCACTGGCATGGCCACAGCAGCTTTCACTAAGATCTGATTTAGATACATCTGCCAAACAACCATTTCTTCTTTGAGTTTCATGCTAGATAGCATAACTGTTGATACATGGTGGCCCTAATGACCTAGCAAACTCTCTTGCTTGCCTCTTTATGTACTTTGCATTATCTGTGGAAGACAACCTGTACTTTACTCATTTGAGCAAGCTGGGGGAAAAAAGACTGAAATAAAATGGAGCAAGAGGAAGCAGGCTGACAGGAGAATGAGCTCCCTGCTCTTGAAAAAACAGAATTCTTGTTTGTTGATGTAATAATAAATTTAATGGTTATTTGAAAGAAATTTGCTTGCATTTATGATTTAAAAAAAAAAAAATGGTCAACCTCAGTATGGTGCTCTGCAATTTAAAAACAAATGTTCTGTATTAAAAAGCTCGGCTTACAGACGACTATTTCACTTGCATTTTAATAGAAGTTCCAGGTATATTGGAAGGTTTTCATTTCATCAGTGCTTCAGTGTCTGTCCTTGATAAAGTGCTACTTTACAACTTTTACAGAAGGACACTTCAGTGAATTACAGTAAATATTCTAATGACTCTAGGCAGCAGAGGATGTATTTGCTAGTGATAGGAGCACAAAGTGATCACTGACTATGAATAGCAAGAGTCTGAGGCCTCTTTTTAGATAATTTTTTCAGGAATATTTATTTAATGATATTGTGAAGAAGAATAAAAATTTAACTTCCTTCTTTGTGGGAAAAATTTAACAGTAACAATCTTTGGAATTTGTAGAGATCCTAGACTTGTTCCCATGTTCAGTCATGTTACCTACTGGCTGCTGGGGGACCTTTGACTTTGAAGTAGCTGTGGGAGAAAATTGGTGAGAACGCTTACAGAAACAAGTAGATACATCTTTGCCTCACTTGCAAGTGTTTTGTACTTGAGCTTCAGGCTGGTTTGTAAGTTTGATTGACTTTTGTGTTAGGTTGTAGTGGGAATGAATAACCAAGAAGTGAATTGTAGGCTGGTAATTCTTTGTGAATGTATGGGATTAATTTAAATTCATTCCAAGGTTACTTTTCACTGCTTTAGCAACTTGTAAAGAAATTTTAAAATACAAATACTTCATAATTATGTACCATTCTAACAGTCCTCTACACTGTTAAAGAAGTATAAAACTGTCAGAGTGTAAATGTGAATCAAGCCTGTCTACCTCTGTAGTGGATTTTTAAAAGGGGCAACCTCTTCTTTTTTTTTTTTTTTTAAAGAAAGATCAGATTTCAGCTGAATTGAAGATACATGAAAGACTCATGTGTAGAGTTTAATTTTTTTCAGCTGATGTCTGATTTCAGTAATGCTACATTGAGTCACGTCAGCAGAGAGACTTACATCATCTGAGAGATTTAATTCACTGCAGATGAACTCCAGGGATCACAGATTATACGACTTAATAACAACTTTAGTCCATCTTCAGTAGCTACACTGTCATGCTGTGGGCCAGGTGCTGAAACGTGCAGAGGAGTTCCTTTAGCATGTATTTACCAGCAAGTGAGACCACACAGTCATTGCTAGGGCTGATACCCTCAGTTTCATGCAGTTGTTTCAAACTCCACCAATTCTTTTAATTGTTTCAGTTTCTGCTCCTAAGTAGGCACTGGCACATACATCTGCAAGGGTAGGTGCCAGCTGGTATACATGGCCTAGTCTGCTATTGTAATTGCACCCCTGGTATTAGTTGCATGGGAAAGCAATGAGCAAAGCCACTGAAACCAAAATGGGTGGCTTGTGATGGTTGTCTGAGACTGCAGCCTGACAATAGTTTCCCTTATCCCACCTGTCTAACCTTAAAACTGTCTGAGGCATCTTTTTCCTAATGTTCAGTTACTATCTACAGCCCTTCCTGTTTTCTAGACAGGAGTAGGAGCAAGAGAAGAGGGCTTTGCTGTAAACCAGGCATTGGGGTCAGGTAGTGATGACTGTCCCAGTCACCGTATGTGCCGTGCCAGTGCTGCCTAAGGCAAATCATGTTCCCTAACTGGAGGTTCCTCTTCACCAGGCAGAGAATAGGGGCATTGTAGATACAATGCAGGTGAAACCCTAAGGGGGATGAGTTCTTTTTCTTGCATGGGTAGCCTGCTGGCTGAGCTAGTAGCTTTATTTTATTCAGCAGAATGGCAGCAAATATGGTAGTAAAATGTGGAAGACTGAAAAATTAAAATCAGTGTATAAAGAGAGATGTCAAATGTCTGGTATGTTTTGATCTTGACAAAACTAGCATCTGTCAAAACAGTCTGAAGCTGGTGAAGTCTGCCCTGGGATGGTGTTAACTGGAAATGGAAAATGCCTTTTTTTTTTTTGTTTGTTTAAAAAAAAAAAAAAGAGTCAGCACTTTTAAATGCAGTACCTTCTGCTGGGAAACTAAAATGTAGACTGTCGCATCTTTGTCCTACATTCCTAGACCTTTTTATACTTAAGCTCTGCAGATATACTGGAGGAAATGAGCAGTGCAAATTACATTTGTTTGTTTGTTTGTTTTGAATCCTATTGCAGGGGTCAGCACCATTTCTTGTCTGTGCTACAGCAGGCACAACAGTGCTGGGAGCATTTGATCCTCTGGATAAAATTGCCGATATCTGTGAAAAGCATGGCCTCTGGCTTCATGTTGACGTGAGTTTGTATACTGTGTAGTTTTGTTCTGCATTGCTTTTTTATAATTGCTGTTTTTCTTTGACTGTTGATGTTTCTTTGTAGAAGCAAGTTGGGCTCTAATAACAACTTTTTTTTTTTTTTTTTGCATAGAGAACAGAAATACATTCTGATTTATCTCTGTTACATGTGCTGAAAACCAGCAAATAATCTGGTTGTGACAAGCAGTCAAAGCTACTTTGTCATTGTCAGGTTTTATTTCAAAATGATTTAAAAATCAATTTCTTCTTCTTTTACCTCCTAAAAACGCTTCAAGGGTGATTATATACAAATATAACTTCAGATTCTTTCCATGTTCTATTGGAGAATGGACGCATTAGAATTGTGGTGTATGGTTCATACAGGTTAAAAAAAAGGTATATTTCTGACTCAACCAGTTGTAAATTATTCTGTTTCATATTTACAGGTTTGAGTTTCCTGTAGATCTCCTTATGTTTTCCCAAATTGTTAGAAATTTTTCTTTTCTCATTTCTTTATAATTTTAGGTTTGGATACTAACTTTTTGGAATAATCATTGAGCCTTTTTATTACCTGAAAGAGTTAGTTGTAAATGTGTTTTTCTAAAACTAGGTCTCTTCATATTTTCTAAAATTGCATTCTCTTTATAATTGCAATGCCACAAATCCAGAATGGCTAGATTAAAAGCCATGGAGCAGTGAAAGCATCTGGAGCAACATTAATGGAGATTTTTTTAGACCTGCTTTAAATTTTTTAAGTGTTTGTTTCATGTTGAGTATCTAATGAAAAATCACGTAGGCAGCGGTGTGTGTTTCAAATAAATGCCTCACAGACATTAATAAATAAAGTTGCTGTATGTGTGAGTTAAAAGAATTTTCTTATTGACTTGGAGGCAAAGGTGAAGAATTTAGCCCTGGTATTTAAAGCATCTGCAACACCTCCTCATGGCTGTGTGCTGGCGAGAATGACCCAGATGATTTTCAGCAGAAGCGCAGCATTCACTTTAGGTGCTAGTCTCTTGTGTGTATGTGTATAGTCAGTGGAAAGAGCGATGTATTCAGAATCTGTGTTGGATCTGAGGTGAGTTGAATAGACATGGCTGGAGCCATCTCCAATGGCTGTAGGAGGACAACAAGTAGTCTCCTAACATACTCCCTGTAGCTGCATAACTAAAATTAGGTGGGATGAGCCTGGGCCATATTCTGAACTATATACTTCATAGGCAGTTGGTATTTTTTTTTTGTAAAGAATTAACTTTCTTCTTCCAATTTTGCCTCATGTTAAACTAAGGTAAAAATGCCAGTGAATATCTTAATTCTCTGTTTGAACAGTGACTGTAGTTGTCAGATGTTAATTGATTCCCAGTAGAAGGACAAATGTCCAGTAATAAATTGGGTTTATGGTCTGGAAGACCAATCATTCTGTTAAGAAGTGATTCATGTTATGAACCTCTCAGTGGTGCTCAGGAGTTATTTCTATCAGTATTTTTTCCATCTTTCCTTTTGCCTTCTATGAAGAGTCAAATAGTTGTCTGTTTCTTTATTTTTTTGTTTAAAGTTTCTAGCTGTATTTATATGAGAACAGGGTATGGGGAAAAGACTGAAAGCTTTCCACCTAAGTGACATCAGGCATACATGTATATACAAATGTGCTATGAGAAAATGAGCAGATTGTAATTCACAATGTGACCTTTTTCACTCACAGCACCGTTAGAAATAGGTTTACTAGAAAAATATGTGAAAAGGTACAGTGAGACCAGGCATCTGTCATTCAGAAATAGTGTCCAAGAAACATAGTGAAGAGTTGGATTCTTTCTTTGTTTTTAAGCAAGCCTACCTCCTTCTACCCTTATAGGCAAGAATACCATATTTTTGAAAGCTTTGAGGGTCTACATTCCTCTGAAAGGCCTGGTTTCTTGTTGAATGATTTACACATTATGCAGTCTGAGTTATAGCAAGTGAGTACTACTGTTTGGGCCTGCTGTAACTTCGGAGGAAAAAAGGATACAGTACAATTAAAAGAAAGATTAAATCCAGCGGAAGTTCTGTCTAATTTAGGACTTTTTGTGTATTATTGATGGGAATCAGGATTACCTACTGCAAATGGTCTCAAGAGCTGTTTATAAGAATATCTTATATGAATGTCAGTGGTGTTATTTCCAGATTTACACTGATGTATCTCATTTTAGAATATTTTCTGATCCCAAAGATTGATATGTTTGCCTTGGGGAGACGCTTTTCATTATATATGAAATGATAAAGCTCACGATTCTTAGGAAAGGCAAAAGGGAGAACATCAACATAAAATCAGTTGGCTTCAGGAAGATAAATTTCAATAAAGTCAGAAATAGTAGATAAGCTCTCCCATGGAGACAAACCTGAAGAAGAAAAGGGAGTTAAGGAAAAAGTTGTTTTAAGGAGATGATACCAATAAGCCCAGACAGTCTCAGCAGTCAAGCCATTCAACAGCTTAAGTGCAGAGACTTTAACCAGGCTTATTTTGTGCACATTACTGTATTCACACACATATTCAAGTTGCTTAGTGCATTCTATCATACATCTATGATGCCTTTCTTAATGACTTGGTTTGCATCATCAATATGCACTCAAGTTCCAGTACATGTATGTCATGTATTGTGTTCATGTAGCTTTAAATACTATGTATGAGTATTTCTTCACTGCTGGTCCTTACTTTGACCTTTTTCCTACGGCTAGACCAGTACGGAAAATCAGGTTTGACCTATTAGCCTGTGCTGAGGTAGTTATTTTCATCACTCTGTGAACACTGTGATTCCCATCGTTCAGCTGTAAGTAGTTTGTTGCATATGAAACACAGTCATTTTCTCATACCTAGTTACCAATTATATTGCATGGGACACAGGTGATAATCTTTGTGTTTTGAGCTACCCTGCATTGCTCTCAGCTGGATTTGTTTTAAACAAAATGTATCAGTCTAGTTTGATCAATCTACCTTCCTTCTGTAGTCTCATGGATGGAGGGGAAGCAGTTAGCTTTATTGTGTCTTTGCAGTATCTCATCAGAAAGCCAGAGAAACGTGCCAAGCTGCAGCTGTGGTAGTGAGTGAAAACCTGGCTGGAAAATCATACCCAGAGAGCAGTTACCAGTGGTTCACTGCTGAAAGGGGAGAAAATTTTGAGCAGGATTCCACAAAGGTCCATCCTAGGTTAGAAGTTATCTGGTGTTTTCATTAATAACTTGGATGAAAAAGAATACGCTGACTAAATTTGAAAATGACATAAAACTGCTGCAAGAGGCAGTGGGAGGACAGGATTAGAAATCAAAGATCTTGACAGTTTGGAGAAAAAAGTGGAAAAACTAGGCTACAGTTCAATAGAGATAGAGCTCTAAGTTTAAGCTGTAATAATCAACTGCACAAACACAGGCTGGGGATTGTTGGCTAGACAGCAGATCTTTGGAAAAAGATCCGGGGTTTGCAGTACACCACAAATCGGTGACTGTAAGCATTTTCAAACAGGGTTAAATGTCTTTCAGAATCAAATAAAAAAGATACATAAAATAATTCTCTCTTTCTGCTTGGTGCTCCATCTGCTTTATCTAGATTTGTCCAAATAAAGAGCTGTGTTTCAAGAAGGTTAAGGACCTACAGGAGAAAGATTAGAAAATAGTAAAGCAGTGAGGATAAACAGAACCATATCTAGAAACTATGACCAATGAGGAAAGATTGAAAACACTGATGTTATTTAAACTAGAGAAGACAAAGAGACAATACATAATAGTCTACAGATGCTTCAAAAGCTGCTGCAAAAAGAAAAGGAATGATCTGTTCTCCTGATCACTGCAGGTATGACAAGAGGTAACACTGTTTAGGACTGACACTTAAAATCAGTAGGGTTCTTGCCGTTAAAAACAAATGGTTAACTTGTGCAGTGTCCATCATTATAGGTCTTTAAAACCAGACAAAGCCAGTGATTCTCAGTCTTAGGTGCCATCGCATTTGTTTTGGGTTTTTTTGACAGCTCTGGATCCCTAAGTGCTTGGTCTTTGAATTGGGTAAAGAAGCATGGAGCACAAATGCATCTTGTAATTCTGAGTCTCAAGGAGAGACTGAAAGGTGGTGGAGCGGCCTGGATCTCCAGTATTACCGTTCCTCTCTTTCAGATCAACAGCAGTGATTCTTAAAACAAAGGCAGAAAGCAGTGCCAATAGTGCTGTGGAGGCAGCAATTGCTGATGTCTCTCTGCACCTTATTTTTCACTTTGATGCTAATCACAAGCTAGGTGTGTTCATTAGTAATAGCTAGAAAAGACAAGTGTTTGACAGAAATGAGATGGATATGGCTCATCCTGCCTTTGGGGGTGGCACACTGTTGAGATGACCTCTTGAGGGCCTTTCGAGTCCTGTTTTTCAGAGACGGTGTGAAAATGTCAACATTTTCAAATACAGACACCTTTGGATACAAGTTTTTTAAAGACTTATTATATTTCAATGGGTTGCTTATGAATTATGAAAATCAGGGAATAACTTAGTGACTGTTTTGGCTTTATTGAATAACAGTGACTGTTTTGGCTTTATTGAATCATAGAATGAGAAGAGTAAAATCTGTCTATGAATAGGAAGATCAGTTTGATCGTCCTCCTGTAACATGGCTAATTTGCGCTAGCTGGAGAAACCTAGTTTCAAGTCATGGTTCTGTCACAGGATTACTGTGAAGTTTGAGGCAAGTAATTTCCTGCTTTAAGTCCCACCTGTAGATTCAGCAGCGGCCCTTTCCTCAGCAAGGGTGGTGCATTAATGTACTGCATTAATGAGAAAGACATGTGTTAAGACAAGTTATTAACCTTTCATTTCCCTTGTGAGCCTTTACCATTCCCGTATCCAGAGATAGCAGATCTGATTCCTAATGTATGGCCTATGAAGCAAATACTGATGCTAAATTCATAGATGAGCTATCACATCTGTTTCTTTCAAGGAAAAAAAGAACAAAAACCAAACAAGCACGTGTTCTCCATGCTTAGATTGGGA